TCTTTCGAGTCTTTTTGAGAAAGTTCCCTTGAGTCTTTTGAGTAGCCTTCTACAATTTCTAATAACTTGTTTCAAGATTCAAGTAACTGAGCATGAGAGTGACGAGAATGTATTCATGAGTCTACACTATCACTGAGATCCTTCATATCATGAACCATAACTCGTGAATTCAAAATTCACATCTAAGAGAGAGTTAAGAATAGAGTTCAAGAAAGCTTTTGAGTTCAATTGTGAATCCTTTGAGATCACCTATTGATTTGAATTAAGTTTTGAGGAAGTAAGTATGAGAATGAGAAGAGTCGTATACATGAATTCCATAATGTTATTTAGACCCCCGAGTCGAGTCGTTCATGCCCATAAATTCCGCATGACCTTCATAAATTGAGCATCTTTGAAAGGAGTAGAATCTTCAAGTTCTAAGTCTTGAGAGTACACTATTTTAAAATAACATTATAGTTGGGTCAAATCATACTAAACTAACTAGACAGTGATAAAATAACATAAAGGAGCACTAATAAAGGTATTTCAGTATGATCCTTTCCTTGTCATTGCAGTTCCTGCAACTTATCTTTTTCTTGTTATTGCACTTCTTGTAACTTAGGATTAATAGAATAATATATTTTAAGTTACTAGACAGTGATCAAGAACACTTATATTAACAGTAAAGGCGGCGAATGATTTAAAAAGTGCAAAGACATACTCTTTTTCATAAAGGTATTTTAATCTGATCTTTTCTTTGGAGGACATCCAAATTGTATAACTTATAAAAGAGAAATTTCTGATTGTCTTGCTTGTTCTAAAATTTATAGGAACATGAGTAATTTGAACTGTGGTTGGATGTATGAGAGGTTGGATGGACGAGGGGTATACGATCTCCAGTTTTATAACCGGTGTGAATAAATTTATTCAGTATGCATGTTCACAAGAAAATCGTATGAGTGGTGACAACATTAAATGTCCTTGTAAAAAATGGCATAACCTTAAATACATAGATGTTGAAATGGTTAAATAGCACCTTTTTCAATATGGATTTGTTGAGAACTATTTTGTTTGGAAATATCAAGGGGAAGAAGATGTTATTGATGAGATGTATTATGTTAATGATTTGCATGGTGGCACTCAACTTGAATTGGGATATGATAATCCATACCGACAAATGGTTTTGGATGTAGCTGGTCCAAACTTTGATCAAGGTTTGAGTCGATAATTTCATAGCAATATTGGACATGATTCATCTCATACTTATGAAACTTCAATGGAGGAGGAGATCAATCATTCAATAGAGAAGACGTCTGATCTTCCAATGGAGGACTTTTTCATAAAGGTATTTTAATCTGATCTTTTCTTTGGAGGACATCCAGATTGTATAACTTATAAAAGAGAAATTTCTGATTGTCTTGATTGTTCTAAAATTTATAGGAACATGAGTAATTTGAAGCGTGGTTGGATGTATGAGAGGTTGGATGGACGAGGGGGTATACTCTCCAGTTTTATAACCGGTGTGAATAACTTTATTCAGTATGCATGTTCACAAAAAAATCGTATGAGTGGTGACAACATTAAATGTCCTTGTAAAAAATGTCATAACCTTAAATACATGGATGTTGAAATGGTTAAATATCACCTTTTTCAATACGGATTTGTTGAGAACTATTTTGTTTGGAAATATCAAGGGGAAGAAGATGTTATTGATGAGATGTATTATGTTAATGATTTGCATGGTGGAACTCAACCTGAATTGGGATATGATAATCCGTACCGACAAATGGTTTTGGATGTAGCTGGTCCAAACTTTGATCAAGGTTTGAGTCGATAATTTCATAGCAATATTGGACATGATTCATCTCATACTTATGAAACTTCAATGGAGGAGGAGATCAATCCTTCAATAGAGGAGGCGTCTGATCTTCCAATGGAGGAGGAGCCTAATCTTGAGTCTCAAAGATTTTATGATTTACTACAGGCTGCTGATGCAAAATTGTATCCCGGTTCCTCGGTCTCTCAACTTGAAGTTGTCTCTAGGATGTTAAACATTAAAATGGAGAACAACATGTCACAGAGAGGTTAAAACGAAATGATACAACTGTTGAAAGATTCTTTACCTGAAGATAACATAGTGCTTGATAACTATTATCAAACAAAGAAGTTGGTGCGTAGCTTGGGTTTGCCAGTTGAGAAGATTGATTGTTGTGAATCAGGATGTATGTTATATTGAGATGATGATGAGAACCTTACATCTTGTAAATTTTGTGGAAATTAGAGGTATAAACGGCGTGTAGGCTCTCGTAAGAGGAAATCGGTCCCTTAAAAGAAAATGTATTATTTTCCTTTGATTCCTAGATTGAAAAGATTATATGCATCTCATGCTACAGCTACTAACATGAGATGGCATCATGAGCATACACAGGAGGAAGGGGTAATGCATCATCCATTAGACTCTTAGAAACACTTCAATGAAACTCATACCTTTTTTGCCAATGAACCAAGAAATGCAAGATTGGGGTTATGTACAGATGGTTTCCTCTTCTCTTCGACTGCTGCAACTAGTAAGGTAAGTTTTTGATAACTTTTTCTTTTTTGTTTTCTTTACTATTACGTATTCAGCTTCACTATCGTGGGATGAGTTACTCTTTCTTCTCGTGCTCTTTTCTACTTTCTTCACTTCTTAGACGTGCTGAAGTAGCTGCAATGATATCTGCTAGTCTTGTTTTTTAGTTGCATTTATTTAGTTGATTATAGTTTTCCTCCCTCTATTTTGACTTTATATTTGTAAAATTTTACTTCGAAAAGATTGTTTAGTAACATTTGGGCATACTGATGAACTTTATTAAAAAATAATTGATCTTTTACAAGTGTTGATCTTACAATGCTTACATATTTTGAAGATATGACTCGAGGCAGAGGTCGAGGTAGTGCAGGTCGTGAAGGAAAATCCTCAGGTCGCGGTAATTCTATTATTCCTCCAAAAATGCCTATTGTTCCTATTCCCACAACAGTTAGTCCTCAACAAGGTGGTACAAGTTCCAATATAGGTAGGCCTAATCGTACAAACCAAGTTCAAATACTAGGACCTAGCAGTACACCACCCGTTCAAATGACAAATGACAATAATATTCCAACCATTGTTGAATCATCTCCTATTACACCTAATGAGAGTAATCAAATATGAGAGGGTACATCTACTCAAACAACACAATTGGTGAAGGTGAGTCCAATAATCGTGGGTAGCGGAGAACAGTTGTTATTCTTACTCCTACAGGGTTAGTCCATGTTTATAGTATCATTAATATATATTTTTTTAATAAGATACATATGTATTTAAATAATGTCCTCAAATTTATAAAGATTGGAGCCTTCTTCGAAATGCTCTACTTTCATAGCTAAGTCTTTCAAAAATGAACTTGATTCCAATGGAATCAATTGGATAGGTGTCTCGCAACCTGTAAAAGATTTTTATTTTGGAGAGTTCAAGGTATGTTGTTTCATTATAATTGAGTTTAAGAAAGTGATAAACTTTTTATAGATATGATATTAATGTTATTACTTTACAAACTAATTTCAGAAGGAATTCTATTGGGACTCTTCAACTAATGAAAATGCAGTGAAAAGACAATGGGAGATTAAGGCATCACTACGATATAGAGATTTTATTTCCAGAATAAAAAGAACGAAACTAATCCCGGATATGTAACTGATATTGTGTGGGAAAATTGGATGAGGCTTTGGCAAGCTCCTGAGAATGTTACAAAGTCAGAAACAAATAAAAAAATCATCGTGGAGGAAGATAAGTTGTTTTCGGAACTCATACAGGTGGATCTATCTCCATTGGGTAACATCGTAAGAAACTTGTAAGTATATATTTCACGCAATATATATTCTTCGACAAAATACATTTTCCTTATCTTCTAGTCATTACTAAAAGTCTATAGTACACAAATAGTAGAAGTGCCTCTTTTTTTTGTTCAATTATGTTTTGGGATTGTTGTTGCAGTGCATCTGTTTTGGGTGCAACATACAATTGTTGTTGATGACACTTTCGATTTTCAAACTCTTAAATGTATTCTCTCTAATAGTAAATTTGGACATAAAGCGAACAAAATCGAATAGATAAATTGACATATACTTTTGCCTATTGTATAGGGTGATGGATGTCTTTAGCTAGAACTGTATGTTGACTGGAAAAACTTAAAAATGAAAGCCCCACATTATAATAGTTGGTTAGAGAAAATAAAAAGTTATTGGGAAAAATGGATAGATTTGAACTTTACATGTAAAAGCTTTGCCTGAATGTGTACAAAGATGTGAACTCTACAAAGATGGCATAAGAAAATGGAGATATATTCTTCCTGGATATTTGGCTAGTGCTAGCACGTAATATAGTAAAATTAAGAGAGAGTAGGATGTATGTAGACTTTATTTATACCTTTCTGAGATAAGAGATTGTTTCCGATAAATTCTCGGCTTAATGAAAAATATCCAACACATGAGTATAGGTACATATTAATTGTTCAGAAAATTTTCACCAGTACTACCTCTACAAGCTTATAACAGTTAGTTGCCTTAGAATCTATTTTTTATTGTAAGAGCCTTAATGGGTCTTGCTTATAAAAGAAGGGAGCTTAATATTTCATATTGTCTTGTGACAATGAATGCAATAGATTGAATATGAATAACTTCTTATTATAGAACTTGATTTTTGAATCTGAATCTGAATCTCTTTCTTTCTCACCAAGTACTATTTCTGGACAGTTTTTGGCCCCGTGTCATCGATTTTGGAATCTGAATCTTGCATAAGAACGTTATGAAAGATATCTCAATTCTTACCAATGTTGGCTACTTCATCTTTAGAGGCACGAATTGAATTGTTAGCATCATTTCTGCCATAGGGGAAGCCTCAATTGTGGGTTCCTCACTGAAATCAAATAAATTTTTTGTGTTTATTGAAATACTTTACATAATTATATCATATTATTCATAACATAACTGGGCTAAAAAAAAATTTGGGTAGGCTATTGAAAAGGGTCAAGACCCAACACCAAGTGAGCTCCATTTGCACGTCCACACACATGGTCATGATGGAAAAAATTTTGTTGATGAGCGAGCACGAATTGTTCATGTAAGTAGAATTTATAAAATTATCGACTTTTGACATTCATATTCTTTTTATTTGGTGAAACTGATAGTTAGTATTCTTTATTATAATTTTAATGTCTCTACTTATTGCAGGAAAGATATGAAAAAATATTACGTGAGAAAATTGAGTCGATATTGATCAACGTGACGCATATTATCAAGCTGCAGGTGGAGAAAAGAAGAGAAGAATATATGGTCTTGGATCTCAAGCAAAAAGTTACTACGGACCAATTCTTTGTATCTCTTCTCAATTTGATGCTTCATCATTAGTACCACCATCTGTTTCTCAATCTGCACTGATGGAAAATATGGATGAGTTCGTGAAAAAATTGATTCCTACATTGACTGATCACATGATTCCTACATTGACTGATCACATGATTCCTATATTACTTGAGCGCATAGAAGGTGTAACTTATTTACCATCACATCAATCAGCTGATACTCCTATTGGTGACGCATCATCAGCAACACCTATGGTGCCTAATAAGGTTGTTTCAGATGATGACCACATTTCTTCTCCCTAGCATTAGTTTTTCATGTCTGTTTTTTGTTAAAGGAAAACAAATTATGCAGTAACAATTACGAGTTCTAAACATTAGTAATCGCTAGATGCTTGATACTTGGTGTAGATGTTTTGGACTTAATATTAGATGAATATATGTTTTGGTGCATAAGTTATATATGAAGTAACATTTATGTTATATGAATATTTGTAATTATTAGGATGTTTAATAATTTACATTTTCTATATATTTTAAATAAATAAATAAAATGAATAGAAAGAATCATTCCTGTGACAAATTTAATGACGGAATATTGCGACGGATTTTGGAAATAGTTAAAGAATTAAAATTGGTGATGGATTGCGACAAATAATAATTGGTTGCCAAAAGTTTGCAACGGATTAGCGATAAATTATTTCATCGTAAAATTATAGGACGACGAATTCATTTATGTAATTTGCAACGAAATTTATAAATCTAGCGACAAAACTTTCTGTCGCTACCATTTTACTACGGATATCGTATGTCGCTAGATCGTCACTAATCTTGCTACGGAATCAATTTTTCCATTGCTAAGGGGTTAGCTACGAGCAAAATTATAACGGTCAACATTTCATTGCTAATCCGCCGCAAATACAGTTTAGTGATGGATATATGTCTATTTGCGACGAATTTTATCCGTTGTTAAACACTATTTTTTTAGTAGTGTGTTGATTGTGATTCCGGAGATATAAATTGTTGAACCATTGTGTGTGAATATGGAATCATTCTTTGTGTGAGGGCATTTGAGTACTTTTGTTGAGCTTGAACTTGCATTTGAAGCAAGTATTGTGAACTTGAGAATCTTTGATAATGGTGAGTCACAACTTGAATCTTTGAGTGCACAATTGATCCTTGCATGAGTAGGTTGAGTCTTTTGTGTGCATTCATGATTGAGTCTTGTGTAGCACTGTTTGAGACATCCTTTTTGAACTGTTGAACTTGAGTTTTACTAGAGGACAAGCAAAAGTTTAAGTTGGGGGTGTTGATGAGTCCACGTTTTGTACTCATTTAGGGCTTTATTTGGATAGATTTAGTGTCCTCAAATGCTTATTTTGTGCCAATAACTCATGTAAAATCCTTGTTTTCCAGGTATTTGGATGGAGGAACAAAGCATGGACACTAATGGGCATAAAGGAACAAGGCAGCTGAAAGAAGGAAGAAAAGAAGGCGTGATGTTCGCCGAATCCATTGGGTTAGTCGCCGAGTAGCCATTATCTCGCCTAAAGTTCTAGTATGTCAAGCCCTGAAGTAGAAAATTAAGTCGGCGAGAGAAAAGAGCAGTCGGTGTGTCGCCGAACGGTTTCGCGATGCAGTGTTGGATCGCCCAAAGTTACAGAAATTGAGAATACTGAAGGCCAAAGAAGAAAGGTGATGGAACTGACCAAAGGGCAGATCGCTGAGTTGATCGACGATCCCGACTTACTGCGCCGAATGGTCCGTCGCAACATATTTTTGGCGACTATAATACATTTTTGAATTCTTAGTTTAGTATCAGTTTTCATTATATAGGATCAAGTTTTCATAATATAGAATTTCTTATCAGTTTTGGAGAGAGAACTCTGAATTTGGAGACAATATTTTCCTTAGCTTTGAAGAATTGAAGTTTTCCATTTTTGAGAAATTGGAAGTGGGTCTTTGAGATTCTTCAATTTAGACCTTTGTAAAGACGAAATTAATCTTACCCAGTTGATGGAAATATAATTTGGTAACGATTTCTATTTTTTTAGGATGTCTAGCTAAAACCCCAATTATGTGATTATGGGATGATTTAGCTTATGGATATTGTTAATTGATAGTTTAAATGTTGTTTAAAAGTGATTTCAATCAATAATTGTGGTTTAATTTAAAGGGTTGTAGTTGCAAATGCAATTCTACCTTCGTGTTTTGGCTTGCTCGAGAGAGAGGTTTTAAAACCAAGATTACTAATTTGAAGGTATGTGGGTATTGGGTTGTCATGGGTTCAGCTTGAGAGAGTGAATCTCAAACCCTTTTCCACACATTCAGCTTGAGAAAATAAATGGACTAAAGCGTACGCTGTTCTTAATTGCTGTTTGTTGGTGTTTGAGAGAAACCAATTTGATTCGGAGTAAATTGTTCGAGAGAAAGTTTATTGATATACCGTGAGTTTACGGTATTTCTAATACGTTTCACTTACAAGTTATGTGTGTCTAAGGCCCTTTTATATTGGTTTTGATGTGTTTTTATCATGTTTTGCAGGAAAGACGTTCAGGCGCGGAAGTGTAGAGACAGCTGAAATAAATGTAGAAGAAAGGCATTCACGAAGGTGATCTATGGACCGTAGGTCCAATCACGGTCCGTAGGTGATGACCGTAGATCAGCAGGCAAGGCATGGAGGACAAATCAGGGAAATCTGACCAAGTGTGGAACCACGGCGTCCATTGACGGTCCGTAGATTGATC